TTATTCCTTGCTTTCATTTTCAATGACAAAAAAAAATGGTGGGGGGAAGGCACTTGTTTCAATAAAAGAGCTTCTGAAATAGAAAAATTTACGCCTTTTATGCTGGAATAGAGCAGCAGACCTATGGAAAGAATAAGGTTCTGCATATCTGTTGTAATTGCACAGAAGAGGAGCTGCCAATAGCATACACTACTTAGAGAGTCATTTAAGGAACTTTGATATCTGTCCACCTAAATGCAATGCATTTCCCTCAGGAAACAGAAAAGAGGTTTTCTCACACTCTGTTTTTCCTTCTTTCAGTAGCTTCTGAAAATTATGTATGCATGGGTATTTTCAGTTTAATCATATTTTATAATTTTTAACTATTACTTAAAACTCAAATTCAGTGTAATCAGCCCATCTGTTAGCAATGGTTATAAAATTATGTTGAAGATTAAAAATCTGATGCGGTGTCAATATGTCCTAGCATAATGAAGCTTGTTTTATGATGAATGACTATGATATGGCTTTTGTCTACTCCAGCAGCTTTAAAATGGTAAACCTTTTGTAGGCTTAATGTACGAAATGTGAAGATATGCATAAAACAAAGAAAAAAACCCACGTATAAAACTCAGATCCTGTATTCATAGATATGGTGTCTTTGCAGGCCTTGGGAAATGCCAGCAGGGTCATTTCCACGTCACAACCAAATTCACTGCATTTTTCAGTCCATCAAACACTTATCTTCTATCTATTCTCCTCCCGGTAGAATGGCACCCAAACAGGTATTAAAAATTCAAGTTTGCTAAATTCATTATTCCTTTTAGAAAGAGCCAACATGACCTGTATTGGCACTGGTGGAAAAATTAGCACATCATTCGCTTACGTGAATTGAGGGTATTGCTGTAAATACTTACTCTGTTACTTGCAGTATTGCAACATAGCCTAATCTACCCACAGTAAGAGTTAACAAGTGTTTTAATTCTGGCATTGCTGCGAAACAACTATATATAATCATCTCTACTGGAAAACCAATCTTTATGTGGACACTTCTTTCCCCTTTAAAATGTGTCCTTGGAAAAAACCAAAAAAAAAGCCCGTTTTGCAAAAATAAAACTGTGTAAACCCTTTATTTAGTCTATGTGCTAAACTTCCTGCAAAGTCTTCCTCCCCTACAAACTCTGCCTGCAGATGAAGTGTTTTAACCTTGCCCTCTTAATTTATTCTACATTCTAATTTTCAATAAACAGATGCCGCCTCTTTTCGCACTTGTTTCCACATTGTTCCACATTCTGCCTGTGTTGTTTCTGCATGTGTGAATATTCAATTATCTATTTCTCCATGATTCTGCGACCGATGTACTAACTGTCTGTCCAGGTTTGGGGGAGGGTAACCGGGGAAGGCAAAACTTAGAGGAAAGAAAAGAACTGTACTGAGAGTGGGGTACTCTCCCTGAAAGCTGCTAAGCTAAGAAGAAAATCACAAGCCACAACTAGAAATGCGAGGATTACAAAACCACTAGTGCAGAGAAGCAGATTTGCTGCACGCTGGCTCATAAGTATTTCTTTGGTCAGCGCTTGGGTGTGAAATGCTCAGCAGAGACCAAAGGGGCAGAAGAGGCTGTTGGTGCTGCTGCTTCTGGAAATTGTGTCTTTTTGGATAAAAAGCACAAAGCAGCCAATTGCCATTGTGGTTATATATAGCTAAGAAGAGCTGATAACATATCTCAGGACTCAAAAGTGAAGTATGCTATATAAAGGATGAAATATTACTCCTTATGGGAATGGCCCAAAAAAGGAGATCACAGGACAGGCATAAAAGTACAAAAGCTCTTCCATACAGCTCTCAAGACCTTGTGACCCAAAAGCCTAGTTGCAGATGTGAGTAGCTTTAATCTGTAAATCTAAGGAAATGCACAGAACTTGACAGTTAATAATGGCTGCTGCATTACTCACTCGTAAGAATACCTCCTTCCTGAAGCACTAGTGAGTTCTTACCGGTTGCAACCTGCGCCATTACCTTGCATGCTTCCCAGCCAGGAACCCGAGTGACTTGTGTCAGGAGCTGCTGTCACACTGCGCTGATCTGACTCGAGCAACAGAACCATCAAGCGTGGAAATATTTGTATTATGGATGGCTTTAAGGCTCTGTGAAAAAACTGAGCTAAACTGCATTTCAGAGGTACGTACCAAAACTGGTAGGCTGGGCAGTTGGGTTCCGAGGTTTATGTTTGCCAAAAATGGTACAAAATTTAGAACAGCAGAGGCACGCCTGGAGCTCGCACACGGGAGCCTGCGCAACTGGTGCAGTTTCAGAAGCCAGGGACACTAAATGGAAAAATGGCAGAGGAAGGAGATGGTGGTTCAGAAGCTTCGGCTCACGGGGCAGCCTTTGCCAGCAGGGCCCCTGCACAGCTGCAGCCGGCAGGTGAGGCGCCTTGCTCTCCCACCCCCCGCTCCTCCTCAGCAGAGACCCCTCAGCCAGAGCAGAGCCGCTGCTGGCACCAGCGCGCTCTCTGCCTGCTCTTGCATAGACACCATTCTCTTTTCTTACCTGGCAGTAAATAACGGGGTTTTGCTCACCTGGCAAGGGCTATGTGGCATTTTCTGACTTCAGGTGCAGCAAAGCACCCCCATCTATCCTTTAAATCCTGCAACAAAAGCAAAAAGACCCAGATAGGAAAGTGTGGCACAAAAACTTAGGGGCTAGGAGGTTGCCACAAAAGACTCCTCTGTAATCACTGGAGCCTGATGATTAAGAGCCAGAGCGGGATCCTGACACTAATAGGAGCATATGTGTTGTCCTGAGGCTCTGTGGCTGTGGTACCCTTAACTAATTTAATGCAATTGCACAGCTGTTTAAAACTGCTATTCACCAGTACAGACAATTGGTGATAACAACCGGAACAGTAAAAGCGTCAAAAGGGCAGAACAAACATGATAAATAACTTTCTTGCCACACACTCCTGCCTTTCAGTCCTTGAACCGAGAGGCACATGCTGCTTTGCACGAGGAAGCTCCCCCCCTCCTTTGCTTCTCAAACCCTTTGTGGCAGCTTGCTGCCGCCGCTCAGCAGCCGGCCAGATCCATCGTAATCCCTCGCTCTTCACAAGGAGCAGTTCAGAAATGATTTCATAGCTACAGCTGTGGTAAGCTACAAGGCCTAGGAATAAAAGCCTCAAAACTAAGTTGAGACATACAAAACATACGTTGCACTATTGTCTGGAAGCACACTGGGCTTTATAAAGGCTAAGAAATTAATTCTCCCACCACATGGGAAATGGCAAGTATATGTCAGTTCTGCACCTGGAACAAAAGCTGATCACTCACCTGGTGTGGCACCTCCAGGATGAGGCTCAGAGCCCCAAGGATCTCTGCACACATGTTTTGATTATTTAGCCACCCTCCGCTTGAAAACAAGACACGTAATGTTTGTGTCCCTGCAAGTTACACATAAATAGAACTTCGAATACTTGCCAGGCTTGGGTCCTGCAGCCCACCCAGGGCAGCAGTCAGATTTTTAAAGTGTAAATGGCCTGTTAGGAGAGCTGGCCCTTGCACGCTGATTTCCAGGAGTTCCAAAGGAATCCAAACAAAAAAAAAATTCCTGATGCATAGGCTATACAGCTCCCATGCAGTTAGAGAAAAGTACTGCCTGGATGTAGGCTTGCTTTGTGTGCAGAGGGAGACATTGTTAGCATTCAAGTTAGTGTGCCAGGCGAAGACCCTGCAGCTGCAGCTCTGCTCTGTGCAATGAGAGTCAGAAAGCTCAGCAAAAAAACCCACAAAACTTTCTAACCTGAAAATTACTGGAAAAGGAAAGGTGATGTTCCGTGAGTACGCTGCCCAGCTGGAGACGGAAATGGTGATAAAGTTCACCCCCCCGTATCACTAACCAGACCCTTAAAATTTACAAGATACATTTGATTTGGAAACACTGCTCACTGGACGAAGTCAAACCTGTTCCTGTCCAGCAAGCGCAGGCTATTGCTGCAGCATATTCTGCACGTGGCATTTACACGAGTGTCAGTAGGAATTTCATAGGTCTGCTCAGATAGCACAGTGGCAGGGAGCAGATCAGTAGGTAAAGCAGAAAAGTGCAGGGTACCCATAAATCATAAATAGAGAAAGATTTAATTACATGCTTGGTTAATATTTACAAACATTGAAGTTGTTAGATATATAAATAAAAGAAAAAGAGAGGGGCTGAATAGCCAAGCAAAGCCAAAATGTAACAGGTTAGAGTATTTCTTGTGAACTGCCATACGCCTGGAGTATGGAATGGAGAATGTGCTGGTTTTGGCTGGGGTAGAGTTAATTTTCTTCATAGTAGCTAGCATGGGGCTGTGTTTTGGATTTGTGCTGAAAACAGTGTTGATAACACAGGGATGTTTTCATTACTGCTGAGCAGTGCTTACACAGAGTCAAGGCCTTTTCTGCTCCTCACACCACCCCACCAGCGAGTGGGCTGGGGGTGCACAAAAATTTGGGAGGGGACACAGCTGGGACAGCTGACCCCAACTGACCAAAGGGCTATTCCATACCATATGACATCATGCTCAGCATATAAAGCTGGGGGAAGAAGAAGGAAGGGGGGGACGTTCAGAGTGATGGCATTTGTCTTCCCAAGTCACCCTTACGCATGATGGAGCCCTGCTTTCCTGGAGGTAGCTGAACACCTGCCTGCCGATGGGAAGTAGTGAATGAATTCCTTGTTTTGCTTTGCTTGCATGTGTGCATTTTGCTTTCCCTATTAAACTGTCTTCATCTCAACCCACGAGTTTTCTCACTTTTACACCGCTCCCCCACCCCCCCTGGGGGGGGGGGCGCGCGGTGAGCGAGCGGCTGTGTGGGGCTTAGCTGCTGGCTGGGGTTAAACCACAACAGAGACACACTATATAAACTGAAAGAATAAATAAATAAATATTGACATTGTTCTACAGCTGTTTAGCCTCTGGAGACCAGTGATTTGTGGGACCATATGTTGGACAAAATGAGACTGTTCCTTGATAATTGTAAATGTAGTGACCCCTTGCAAACTAGATATTAAAAATATTAAGTAAATGGCACATTTTAATTATACAGTAAAGAGGCTGTTCTCCACCATTAAAAGACTGCAGCTGTCAGGAGGAATTGATCATATGACAGAAGGTAACATTTATTTGATAGTAGACCTTGGTAAATGACATCCCGAATGATCTTTAGATTCTCAGACAAACATATTCAGTTCAGACTCGGGTTTAACCATGACACTTCAGTGTCTTCGTCTTTCAGCTGAGACAATTTTTATCTGTTCCTCATATACTATAGGGCTTGTTTTTTTTTTATTTTTGTTTTAATTTGCTTTGCAGTATTTAAATTTCAAATAATGTATTATTAAATGAGAAACTGTAAACGATGGAGTTTGGAATTGGAAGTCAACACATTTGTTACTCTTTTTGCCAAAGGTATCAAGTAAGTTGCATAATTACCACAGTATTATATCATCTTTGTCCACATAAACACAGCTTTCTATCAGCTTCGAAAGTGCCATTGGTGAACAACTGAACGTGCGGACTCCACAGAAGAGCAGCCCAGGAGGAGCTGAGGGCATTCACAATGCCTTACGAAGTTGCATAAGGAAATGAAGTAGAGACAGGTAGCCAGCAGTCACCAGCAAAAATGCCAAACACTCTCACGTATGTGCTTCTACATCTGAGGCAGAGGAGAGAAACGGCAGACAGTTTTTGTAGCTTCCTTCCTGCCTATTGTGATCCGACATTAAGACAAATGTGTAAAGGTAAAGCAGCAGCCCGTGAGGATTGATTCTTTTCACTGATCCATAGAAACTCTTCCATACATGATCTTTTTCTCCCTCCATTTCTGATTTTATGAAGTGCATGTTCCGTGTCTCACATTGTGCCGATCCTGTGGTGAGGCACTTGCAGAGTCTGAAGGTTGGGGCACGTGAAATAAGGAGCTGGAAGAAAGCATGCTGCTATTCCGTTGGAAGCGAAGGGGAGCGTAGGCCCATAGAATACCTCTTCCTTCCCTTCCTTGCTAACATCCAGCACCTGCAGGCCAAAGTGTACAAAATATTTCAGGGATCGCAGAAGAAAGCTGAAACAAATTTGCGGGCACACACAGCATATATGTACTATTAATCCCAACAGAAAGATAATTTCAGATCACTTTCAGGTTGTATTTATGGATCTGGTGATTTATTGCCATCCTCATCACCCAAATCTTATCCTAGCTCAGGCACTCAGTAGCAGACAGTGACATTGGATCCTGCTTCCCGGCAGCAGAACGTGCAACCATGCAAGTAGGGTACTCTGCACGAAACTGCTACTGTTACCACGAAGTATTAATCATTTGTCAGCTTGGTGGTATATAGGGAGCAAGGGAGCTCTATCAAAGTTGGAAAGGCCAAATAAATGAATGACTTAAAGAAAATGAAGATATATGGAAGAAGTGGATTTTTTTCTTCGAAAGGAGAGAGCAACCTCAAATTTGCTGAATTTGAAGATAAAAGTTTTACTGGTTAAAGCCAGGCACACTGCCAACAACTGAGAAGGGGCAGCACACACAGCTCTGCCAAAGCACTCGTTATACTTCTTTTCCCTTTAATGCGGGGACTGTCTCGGGCAGGCTGCCAGTTCACAACCAGTTTGGGGATGTGGATAAATGTCCATTTAAGAAAGCAAGATCCCAGGATCATTTTCACTTGTCATTAAGCAGTATTTAAACCCAGGTGCAATACTGCAAAGTACCTGCTGATTATAAATGAGCATGTTGGTGGAGTACAGCCACCACCTTGATATTGTGCTATTACTCCATCTGAAGCACTGTATGTCAGCTAGTGAAGCCAGTTTGAATGAATTTTTCCAATAAAAATTGTACGGTATCCAACAATTTCGTAAAACAAAATTATACTATGACGAGAACATGGTTTTAACTCCTTATCTCGCATGATCTATTCTTTACAAACTGATGCTAATAAATGTTCATTATAAGATCAGCAGCTTGACATGTAATACATTCCCTTCTTATGCTAAGTCTAACTTCTAGCCTTACGGGACAGTTTAGAGGTGAAATTCTAAAATCCTTAGTTGGAAGCTAATGAAAATGTTGTTTATCAGCAAAAGTGCAGAAACTGAGATGTAAACAGGAATTTCTGTCTCTAACTGCCCAGCTGGTCACAAAGTGATGGCTGTGATGTAGATTTGCTTCACTCAGAAAAATGCAGGAAGATAAGAATTCCTAATTTCTGTACCGGAATATCTGAAAGCCATGGATCTGCAGGTGAGCTGCTCTTACACAAGATGAGAGAGCAGAAGAGTTTGTTGGACAACCTTTTGCCTACAGCAGGGATCAAAAAATTCCCATTCAAGCTTTGAAGCAGTAAGCGCTAGGGCAGGTTGCAGGCTGACTGAACTTTGTCAAAGAACAACTCGTTAACTCTGGCTGCTCTTCAGAAAGACAACTTGGAGAGGAAAAGAAAAAACAAAAATCACAAGACGGGCTGAAAAATTGTTAGCCCATGCCCCATCATCCATTTCTGCAACCCTTTTACTTTTGAACCTGAGTGTGTAACCTGAGAATATATACCCACTATTTTACCCAAACCTTGCCAAAGGAGAGACTCCTCAACCCTATTTTACTAGAATATCTTAGAATAATTGGTTCTAATGGCTCATCTGGAAATATTTTTAATACCCACAGTATTTCCTCTCTGTGTTTAAGCAGTTTCAGTGGCTGTGTAAGAAACATCTTAATCTCTCCACTTCACATGCATTTTCCTTTTCGAATAACCTCTGTGCCAAATGTATCCTTGCAAAATTATTGGAAAAGACTTTAAAAGAAACCTAAATCACTCACCTGGATACATGCCAAAGGCTCATTTGTCCAAATCGAATAGCCGCCAACTAAATATATTCTACCATTGTGGACGGCAACTCCAGACTCATTTTGACCTAAAGCAAAAAAGGAAATAGAAACCACTTTCAGTGTTTAATTAACCCTTTTAACACTGAATGTTAGAGTTCTGTAATATGATGAAAATGCACCTGGCAGTAACTTGACTGTTTCAGAATTCACAACGTGCAACAGTGAAGGTGAAGTGCGAGGGCTGTTCTTTGCTCTCCATGGAAGCCCCATACGGTGCTGTCCGGAGAGATACCCCAGATGAGCAATAAACTGAGGCTGTGCAGGGGACCATCTGCTGTCTCCTCAATGGCACAAGTTTTTGTACGCCTGTATTTCACAGGTGATAGATAGGCAAGCTTCCCACCTGCCTCTCAGCTACTATGACACATGCACATCCAGATAGACACATAGGCCAAGAGAGCTGAACGCCCCTCCCGTTCTGCCCACACCTGTTGATCCCCCTGTTCCTCAGGTACAAGTATGGGGAACATTGCAGAAGCTGCTGTGCAAGCTCATTCCCATAGCAACGGTCTCCTGAACAAGTTTGGAAGTTTTGAAGGATAAATACAGCCTTAAAAAAAATCTGCACTACACAGTGCAACAGCCACATTTACCGCTAGTTGCAGAGATGCAAAGAAACGCTTAGATGGCTTCTCAAGGTGCAGGTTGTGGAAACAACCCACCAGGTTGTATCTGAGGAGGGGCTACTATCTCACAGCATTTCATGGTATGGGGTCAGCTCCAGAATGAGGGCGCCTGCAGTGCCAGCGCTTTTGCAGTTGCAAATCAGATGGTGTCCTTCTCAAAGGATGTCAATTCCTCCAGATAATAAAATACAATAATTAAATGGAGACCAAAAGGGATACAAAAAACTAGTTCTGTTTGACAATGTGTAACTCCTCCATGGCTCTCTCCCCAACATCCGTGAAGTACTCTGATGACCCAACTCAGAAACCGTGCAACCAGAACCCAGAAATTAAGAAACCCAATGCAATATCTTAAAGAACAAAGTTGTCGCTAGAGCAGCTTTTAAACCTACCAGGAGGAAAATGACATAAGGTGACTGTCTTATTTGTCAGACGTTCATTTCTCTGACACAGTGACACGGTGTTTCTAGCTATCCTGAGCTTCTAGTTAAGCTCCTACATCCTTTGTATCCTTTTCAGTGGTAGATCTCAGAAAACAATGCAATGCCAAATGGAAGAGGATGAAAAGCGAGGTAGGCTCAGTTCTAGGACTCCTCTAGCAGGCTGCGCTGAAACTTTTTGGCAGCTGGTACTGTTACTAATTGACCTCCAAGCCTGCTGCACAAGAGAATGGCGCCAACATTAATGCTGTCCTGGAAATGTCCTCTTCTACAAAGCTGCGGTGGTGCTGTGTCACGTGCCTGTCTCTTCCAGGGATTCGAGGAGGTAGTACGTCTGGGAATTGTATTAAGTGGCAGTGAAACTTGGTGGACTGGGTGGCAGGGACAGTGAGTTGCAGTGCTTTGCAAGTTGCTACTGTAACTGTTCCTCCTAATGATGGTCAAGAGGAACTTTGCAGATCCATAGCTAACCGAGATACTCAAGTCATGCCTGACCTGACAGAATTCCAACAAAGACACCTCCTTTCAGGTAGTTTATTAAGAAGATATTGCTTAGAAATAAGTCATGGTTAATGGAGTTCAATGCTTTATAACACCAGCAGGAAACGCTACAGAACGATATCATGGTAGAGATGGATCTGCCTGTTGAACACTCAAACAGGGAGCTAAATCTATCAGTGCAGGCAAGCTTTTGGAGAATCAAAAATAAGTACTGGTAATACTACGACAAAGAATTTTTGATTGCTTAATTAAATTACATGTATGTGCACCTTCTTAAAAATTTATCATACAATGTCCTAAGACAAATGTTTTGTAGAACACTGAATGCCAAAACAGTAATCAGAAGTGTCTTGTTGGCCAACGATGGCCCCTAAATCAGAGGCAATTGAGGTGAAGTTGTGGAGTTCCACATACTAAAGGCATCTAAAGGGAAAAGAATTGATGTTTTATTCTAATAGTAGCAAATTTCCTCTTTTGGTGTACAATACTTGCCTGTCAACATGTTGAAGCTGCAGCGCGTCCATTGGTCAGCATCTATGCTGTAGGAGTCTATGTGCCGAACCAGGATCCGATCGTTGTTGTAGTCCAGATCATTCCCACCTAACACGTAAAGTTTCCTTTGGACAGCAGCCATGGAGTGATACACTCTCCTCTGCAACATTGGGCTACGGCTTAACCACTTATTCTGCAAAGGAAAAGAGAACTTGTCTCAGCACTGCTCAAAGACATACCTATATTAGTAGTACAATAATAGTAGCACGTTAGTGGTGTTTTCCTTACCCTTGGCCAGAAATCACAAGTGTATATACTTGTGTTGTTCATATGTTAAACATGTATGTTGGTTATAACGCCGACTAGACATACTGGATTTTCAACACGTGGTTTACAGTTCTCACATTTAAATTCATTAATTTAATAGTATTTCTTGCTCTGTATTTTTTTTCTGTTTAGCTCATCAGGTTTCAAAGCTTTTTTTCTTCTTTATAATTCAGTAGCAAATCCTCCTTAAGCAAGACTATTAGATGTCTCCTTTGTATACAGCGCTAAAATTATGTGTACCAACTAGCTCTGTTATGAGAGAAGAGAAATTCTTCTACCCTTCGTTATTCAGAAGCTTATTTGATCTTATCCTTGGGGAATGAAGCAACAGGGAAAAATAATTTCCTAAAGAATCTTCTCAAATGATTCTATGTATTTGGTTTAATGCTAACCCTTTATTTGTGGGCACTTACAAAGTAACATCCTTCTGCATATTTTTCCTCCTGGTTAACAACATTCAAGAATTCTACCTGTTCAGGAGAGGGGCAAGAGGACACAGAAAAAGAGGGATTAAAGCACAGTATTTTAAACCTAAGAAAATTGCTCCTGCTACAACCTGGCAATGGATGAGATTAATTTATTTAAGTGGAGGAAGTTAAAATCTGTGAGGAAATTCTGTGTGTTACATGTGCTACCGCTTGCAGGAACTCAAGAGCCTCTAATACTACTGCTTTTTAACCTCCACAATATATAGCTATACATTTCAGTGTGTAATAGTTGGATATTAGGCATTAATGTTTGCATTAGTAGTCCAGTCTCTTAACACCAGACTATAGACACCATCTGCTTTGCAAAGCCTGCCTGCATCCCCTGATTATATCTTTAGCTTCCTCCACTGCAGTGCCTGCCAGGTGAGCCGCAAAGCACTGCAAAGGCAAAGAAACAGAGGGGCCTGGTGGGGTCATTTCTAATAAGCCAGCGTGTGAATACTAATCAGTGGTGGGGAAGCAGAGGTCACCCCAGCCGGCTTGTTGGCAGGTAGCTGTGTGCTCTGTGGCAGATGGCAGGCATTATCGACTCGCCACAAAGGCCTCGCGCAGAAGCAAGCGCTGGTGCTGAATGATAGAGTTATTGAGATTCTGTGCGAGATGCAAGCAGATGTGATGGTTTCCAGTACCCACCGTAAACAATATGCCAGCAGAATTTTTAAAAAGAGCTTGTGTGTACAAACACGAAGCGGACCTCATTTGAAGAATGCGAGCGCACACTTCATCTGTAACTCTTTACACGCCAGGCCGGGTTTCTCGCGGTCAGCACAGCACGCTGAAGTAGCCCTGCCACTGGTATTTTGGGGTGCAACTTTCATGTCGGCAAGTAAAGAATCAAAGCGAAAGATATGCAGTAGAGAAACAGTATCTAAATAAGAGCGTCCCCCTCATAAGCAAAATACGATTGCTGCCTGTAATTACTACTTGGATTTAGGACCGAATCAGGATTTGTACAATCGATGCATAAAACTGTACCTCAAAAAGAAAGAGGCAGGTGTGTCATTGCCTGCCTTCTGCCTCAGGACCTGTATGTGCTATGCTTTAAAAAGTCAGTGGGAACCGCGTAGAAGTATTTCCTGGCACAATTTGGTTCCAAATACAGCAATCAAAGCCCCTATCCTACAATCAGAAAAGTCAATACTCTTCCACACAGGTGTAAATCAGGCTATGCAACTCTGATTGCAAGCTTAGGACTTTTAATTCCTAATACAAGCAAGAGGGCATAACCATGCCCTAACCCTCTGAAATGGTTACTGAGCCATGCTAACCTAATCAAAACACATACATAATGTATGAAATAATCCCTAAAAGATATTTTAGGTGCTTGGGTAATGAAATGATAGGCACCCTTGCAGTCAGTAGAATAAGTCACGGCCAGGTAGTATAGTTCTGAAAGTATGTGGAAAACAAAATGCCTGTGTATGCAATTTAAAGAAGGAATGCCAATGACAAGGAGTAGTTTTGTGATACTGACTTTGAGTATATGTTGCCCGGGGCTGCTGGATTACAAAAAACAATGAACAAACAAAATAAATACTGATAAACACTGGGGATTTAAAGCACATTTCTGTATTTAATCTAGGTGTTTCTAACACCTACAGCCTTAAAAAAATACAATAAAAAGTCAGGGTCTCCATTACAGTGTTAAACTCACACATCAGTACAAAGTGAATTTAAAACACCACTAATTCAAATGATCAGCATTTTTAGCCTCACAAAACCATTGTATGTATTTGCTAAGAGACCTATTTGAAGCAAAACATATGAGAAAAACACATACAACACAGATACCCACCTGCTTAGGATCATAGACCATGAGCCTGTTTTGATACTGTGCAGTATTTGTTACTCCTCCTATGAAAGAGTTTATACAGGTTACATTTTTTCGTATAAGCAAAACCAGGACCAAGATCAGGTACAGCAAAATAACGAATTCTAGGGTTCATTTGCTGACATAATTACGTTGCATACCACCGCTTATGCTTACATTCCACTGCACTTTTTAATCTGGTTACAAGGTAATAAGTAGCACATTTGTCAACCATCTAGAAACACAAAACAGCAACAACAAACACGCCTCCACACACTCTTCCTTTGTAAAGCTAATTCTATGGGCTAAAAACGAGATAAAAATTGATCTGTTTATAAATGACTGTGCATTCAGCCGTCATCAAGACATGAAGATAAAACCCGTCCCTGTTCCAGGAAGCGTGCAGTGTGTGACATGGTTTAAAGGAAGAGGACTTGCATCAGAGAGAAGGAAGGGGTCGGAGGGGAGGTCTGCCTTACTAGGAGTGTAACATGGGACATCACTGCCAGCTGGAAAGCATAGCACAACTCTGTGCAACTGCACTCACCTATATATTTGAAGGAAGTTCTGTATTTAGTCTGTATTACAGAGAGAACATCTCCTGGCTTAGTGGTAGACTTATGTTGGGAGGTTCCTCCATAGTGACCAGAAACAACACCACCACCATTTAGCATATGAACCTTTCAGTAATGTTTGGAAAGCAAGGTATAAAGCACCTCAGAAAAGCCCAGAATAGAATCTGACCCAAGTAGATCCTGCAAACCAACGATTTACCTCAGGAGAGTATATGTTTAATCCCTGATCATCCTGTACTCTATTGGTTTTAAATGGCAAATCTCACTGAGTAAACTGATGGAAAAATTCTTCAGTCTCAAGTCTGTAATCTTATCAGCGTAAACATGTTCTTGAGTGTACTCAAGCCTCCTGGGGACGTGGTGTCACTGCAGCACTGCCACAGGTCCCAGTCCCCCCTCTGTCACCACCCTGGGCCCATGAGAAGATGGGACCAGAAATAACACTTGCAAGCTGCACCTCACCTCTCATCCTACCAGAAGGTCTGGACTTAACTAGGCCACACCACAGTGGCCACACACCAGTGAAACTCATCTTGACAGACAAAGTTTTTATATTACAGTTTTAACAGCATGTGCCAATGACGGACAAAATCCACAGCAACGAGAGGAAGAAATTTAATCTGTCATTACCTTTGTTTATGTTTTGCTTTTTGTGAGGACATCCCCTGTTTCAGACAGAGCAGTGGCAGAGCTGCTTTCATTCCTGCCGGCTGAGCTATGGCCCAGTCCTACTAAGGCCATTGGGTTTTTTCTTTTATCCCCAAGCAGTCTCAACATGCCTCTGTGCTGGGGAATCCTCATTTTGCCACCCTCCAGCTGCATCTACCGCAGTATTTTGGTTCAGAGCCATACTGTGATTTTGAAGCAACTCCCCCACCTCTCACGCATCATTTCAGGGCGGTACTGGTGTGCATTCAAGTTAAACCAGAATCTCAGTTGTGCTCCAGTTCCTAACAGAGGCATAAGGGTGTGAAATAATAACTGGTCTTTCGGATGGTTTTGTACCAGCTGAGTGCTGGGAATGTTTGGTCCAGAGGACCAGAATAAATTTAGTCCAAAGCAAAAAGGTGAACTGTACATGGAGTAGACATAGAGAACTGGGCACCAAGGTTTTGTCCGCTGATCTGCTCCTACTGGCCTTAGCTACTTGCTAACATAGATGTACCCTCTGAATCACTTCAAACTTGAATGAGGTCAAGAATCTGATCAATAGATAGCAGAAACTATGGACAAATCTATTCAAGAATCTTGTCTTCAACCGCAGAAGAAGGGAGGAATAACACTGTTATTTGGGCGCATCTCTGCAAGCACCAGCCTGTACTGGGACCCCTACACATGGACGGTAGCACAAGCTCCCAGCTTGGAGATGCTTACAAGCTACGAGACAGCCGAGGCAAGATGTAGTCTTTCCAAACTGTTTCCATCACACTATGCCACTCACTGCCCATCACAGCACCTGTAAAGTACGCACATAAGAACACGCATTGGAAAGCAATGACTGTTCCCAAATCTAATCTCACAATCTGTTATTTGTCTCTACACTGTTGTGCAGCCTTCACAGTGTTAGTGGCCGTCAGCCACATGCACAAAACAATCTTTTCTAATATCTGTTTTGTAATTTGATTTTCTTTTACATAGTTATTTTCACACCTAGCGTAATGTTTAAAAATGAGATGTCAGATTAGTACTTTGAAAAATAAAAATCATAGTTATTTGGATTTTACATCCAGAATGTTAAACTACAGGAGATGCATCGGAAACACAACGCTGGGTCTTGTATTTCCATTCAGAAAGGACACCTTAATTTGGGGCGAAAGATGTGGAGGAAGAAGGGAAAGAAGGGGGCTGCTTCCTCGTAAAATAATGAAATAATCAAATAAGCAAAATTATTTGCCTCTCTTCACAAAGAGCCCCTCATATCAAGTACACAGCTTACATTTTTTTGCCCTGCAATATTGCTCATCTGTGGCATTTTATCATTACATTCCCTTCACATGCCGCTCTTCACTTTTAGATTAATCTGCCAAAATGAGATGCTAAGGATTTGCATACAGATTTGACTACACAAAAATAGATCTGGAATTAATAACAGTCTCTATATGTTTTAATTTCTTCTAGACTGGAGTACCCTTGCCTCCAGCAGTATTCTTGGCTTTGAAAGTCATCAAGCTGATTTGTCTGCTCTTAGGTTATGATGCCACATGCTGCTACACTGTCCCCTGCAATCAAAGTGCTCGCAGAGATAGATTCCCATGCCTTCCCCTAACAAGTATATTTTATAGATTGGCAGTTCTGATCTCCCCTCCCCAGGGGGATAATCTGCATCTTAACAGGTTTCTATAGATACATCTGTCATTAAATATGCCATCTTATATCTGCATCAATTTTCAAACTCAAGTTTCTCCTAACTTTGAAGTGCTATAGCAAAAGTTTAAAATTTTCTGCCAAAATTCAAATTTAACAAGTCTGCAATGTCCTCTTGAACTATTTTTTTAAAAATACTACAGGCAGCTGGAAAAGGGCAAGAGAAGAGCAGTATGTCTCTTAAAAAATAGGAAAATGGGAAAAAAAAATTAAATGGTAATAAAAATAATACATACTTTCTCAGAAAAAAATGGGGTAATTCTGAGATAATTTTTTAACCTTCTCTGCAGTGCCTTCTATGAGGAAAGGAGGGAAAAGGCAGGGAGGCATCATAACTACACTTGAAAAGAAGTGTAAAATACAAACCATGCTATTACTTTTGATGTCAAGCAATAGCAGCTAATGTGGTAGTAACCCATCAGCTAAGGAAAGAGAAAAAAAAGTCTGGCTGGGTAAATGACAGAAAATTTACAGTTTGGTCAGCAGTCACTGGGTTTTATAAATTGAGAGTGATGATTGCACTGCTTTGACATGAGCAGCTTGCTTTAAGGACTAGAGTTTCCAGGAGGCAAGAAGCATTCTCAAGACAAGTCTTTCTTGCTCTTACAGCTGTGAGAACACACTCACGGGAAGCCCAGCATCCAACCCATGGGCTTACAATGTGTTTACACTGCCACAATCACTGTTGCTCACTCCCTTGCAGGCTGTAAACCCTGCTTTTTAAGCCCTCCAAGACCCGTAAGTTCCCAACTCATGCAACAGTGCCCCCCTACATGGAGAGGTCCTCGATGAGCCCAAGACCAGCCCTTCCCCACACACGGGAAATAATTTTGGTTTGTTACAGTCCCCCAAACAGTCTACAAACTGCACTGAAAAGCACCTTCAATAAAGACACCTCCAAAAAGAGAAGGGTGGGAGGCAGTAGATTCAACACCATTTTCCCAATTGAAAATTTATAATCCATATTTATAACATGTCCCAGTAAGACCCCCATATGACTTGAGAAATCTAATCCAATCCAAATCCCCCAGAAAATCTCACAACTTTCTCCGAAGTCCCAAGTGCTAGGCTGCACGCACGAATCCGAGTTTGCTGGGAGACGTGTAAAACTACATGTTGCCAAAGAGCTCCCACGTGTATTCCTTCCAGCAAATCCAGGGAATATATAGAAACTCATGACATGCGCCCCAAGGTGCTCTGCTATTTTAAAATAGAAATCTTTCCTCTCTTACGTGTTTGTATGTTAAACACAAGATAATCCTTCCTCAACATGCAAGTCTGCTGCCTTTTACTTTAGCCAGCCTAGGTGCAGCGAGGACAGCTAAACTGGAGCATATTCTCCCACCTTAACGAGTGCCCTGGAAGACACTACCAGCAGCTCTAATTAACACTGTTCCACCTCCGATGCAATCCAGCTGCAAACAAGAGGGGCACAAGCCCTATTTTTTTTGTGGGTTGTTTTTTGAAAAATCATTAAAACCCGATGTTCACATTCAATCTAGGAAGAATCAATGGCATCAAACCTATAATGTCCATGCTTGAAAGGTGTGAGATCCATTATCTTTATTCAAATATAATAGTAATAATAAAGAAACACTGTTCCATATACAAACTAAGACTGGGTCACTGAGGCAATTTTTATGTACTTGTTAAGCTCCTGCTCCTGGTAATTTCTGTGCCAGCTGCACTGCAAAACTTGATTTGGTTAGACACTGTAGATTCCTATTTATTCCAGATCTATTTTTCATAAAACAATTTTATAGACATTTACTGAGAAAAAATTTCCTTCTCCTCACAACAAACAGCATACTGATAGTAAGGTAATACTTTTCCCCTCAAACCACTTGCAAACTCAGAATAATTCTTCAAGATATGTGATTTTCATCATTTCCTTGGTCAAAATCTCCATCATTAGGGAAAAAATAATAACAACAACAAAGGAATCTTGAATTTTGAAGAAAAAGCTGTTACATACAAAGCAACTGTACAGGGTTGGCTTGTTTACCGCCCCCAAGTTGAGTTTCTGTGTGCATGTCAAGATGTGATTTTAGCTGACACACTTAAGGTCAGGCAACTCGGACCTCTGAGAAACAACAGCATAATACTTTGCTTTAGAGAAGACTTTTCATGTGCTAATCTCTTGAGCATTTGAGGCAGAGGGGAAGCCTCGTTATCCCCAGCTGCAGGTGCAGGAATGGCCCAGAGCTGAACTGCTTGGCAGAGGTTCCCTGCCCCTCTCTGTCCCGACGGGCGCTACACCTATACGGGAGGAGGAAGGTTAACGTGTATAGAAAAGTAGGTCTTCAGATTTGCATGTGCGCGCCACAGAGGATGCAGGGAAATGGGCATAGTTCAAGTTCTCATTCTTAAGGAAAATATTTCCCTGCTTTTGAAGGGAATGATTGTTAGTAATGTTGAACTCCAAAGGGTTTGGTGCATTTTGTTTCTCTTTCACTCAAATACTTCACTTTTCAAGCATGTGGCATGCAATTCATTTGTGAAATGGGTCATGGTGTCAGATGTTAACTGGGGCCTGTAAGATTCATCTTTTTATAAAATTTCAAAACCATCTGCCCGATGCTGTACTGTCAATAAAGAAAACTTATTTTAATGAATTCTCATGTACTTTTTAAAATAAGAAAATAAAATAAAATGTGGGCTGTGAAAAAATAAAAAAAGACAAGAAAAAGTAATGATACAAATATAAAAATATGTTCCATAATATATGGAGCTCAGAAGACTCGAGAGCTGAACCCACTTGTGCTGACCAGAGGGTCCAACCAGTTCCAGAGTGCAGAAGGCTCCCTCTGAGCCTTCTGGCAGGTTAAAAACCCCAAAGGGGTGGTGGCAGCTTAGGAGTCCCTCTGTCACCTGAAACACCAGCCACCCATCTCCTACTGCCAGCATGTGCTTACAGCATTTTGTTTAACACACTTCCTTTCCCTGCTGCCTTTGCCATGATTTTATGCTCTATTATTTTTTACTCCTTCTCATATTTGTCCCAAAGGAGCACCAAAGTAAAGCCGACAATGAAAACCAGTAATAATAATAGAAACCCCTTAGGTCTAGTCAGCTTTTGATTAGCAAAGCCTTTAGAAGACAAGGGGCTGTAGCAGAGGCGCTGATGCTTTGGCTATAGAGTAAGTAAATGGTCCATATGTGGGTCATGTTTTGATGACACCCTCCACAAATACAAGGGCTAGAAACTTGTATTATCACTATTTAATTTATTCACTTACTAAAAAACTGGGCACATTTTCATGGTTACCTCGCCAGCTGGTAGTAGCAGACTGACTTTGAGAGCTCTTACTGATGACCTGATTTCCCAGAAAAAGCAGCAGGGATACAGCTCAGAAACATCCCTAACTCAGACTAATTTTTTAATTACTTAATTTTAGGCCACATACTTCAAACTTAGGTTCCCTCTTGCATTACTGATTACTCTTATGCTAACACTTTACATTTTATGATGAACAGTGGATTTTTTGAGCAGTGACTACTGATCTTTTTGGAACAATAAAACATCTCTCTGTACTATTCCCCTGCCCCTGAATATACACGTACGACAAGCTACATTCTAGCCCTAAGCAATTAATTAATAATAAAAAGCTAGCTACAGTTATTGCATCTCCATCTAGTTTTATTTATAAAATAACTCTATTCAATACACAGAACACAGTTTTCAATCTGTGAGTACATAATTCAGATCAATACCCTACTGAAGTATTGCATAGAATGTTCTCGTAATTCATAATAACCTGTCAGAATCTAGCAACTCAAAACAGCTAAGCATTTTCTCAAAAACTATACAAAATACAACCGAAAAGTCCTGTCTATCTTATTCACTGCCAAAACATTGCTCCTTACTGTGACTTTACAACAGAAGTTATGTTGGTAGCATTTTCAAGTATAAATGGAAAAATACTGATAAAATATTTTTTGTTGTTTTGCCCAGTTTTAAAGAGTTCATCTAATAGGCTTCCACTTACCTCTTCCCCTGATTCTACAGCTGTATTAGAGGCATATCCTTCAACAGAATATCACACTGCTTCATTATATAAATAAACACACAGGCAGGCATGCATTTCACTTACGTAACTAAGCACATTAATTAATCCTCAGCATAATTTTCCCTTTCCTAGTATATCTGGAAAGATTAAAAGTAATCTTCAACCAGTCCCACATTTGACTTAAAAATCTCTATCAAATACTTCCTTGGGGTTTTTTTGTTCAGAAAAAAAGAAATTAAGAAAAAAAAAATTACTTTTTTCACGTACTGGAGCAAGGACCACACTCTGATGGGATGTTTCTAGTGCTCATTCAATGATTTTATACGAATACATTTAACACAATGTCCGAAAGAGTCCTGTTTTTCATAGATACTGACAAATGTAAATCACAAGAGGAGGGTGAAAAAGAAAAAAAAAAAAAAATCAGGACACAGCAGTAGTATCATCCATGTATTTGAATTGCCCATCACAGACACACATCTCTCTCCACTGATAAAATAGGAAAGGTAGTGAATAAACAGGGTAATGCTCTGTGGTTCCCTAAAGCAGAAACCCTGTTTCTGTACTGTACCTGGGTCTCAAAGCCCCACTGTGTGCACACTTCAGGATTAACACACAGCACAAGCTCTACAAGACTCCTTTGATGCCAGTTGTTGAAGAAAGCGACCCAAAGCACCTGCCAGGGATCTTGGTGATTTTCTGCATTCTGTCATGCTTTTAATTCCAAAGTCATTATTCATTACTTTAGTGTATGTATTTTTATGTACAAAAATAATTACCTCCCCCGCCAATGCTTGGGAATGCCTATAAGGCACTTAATCCATATGGGCAGAAAGATATATCTGTAAGGAGCTCCACTAACCTAAATGACATACTTTGAGAATCACAGAATCATTTAGGTTGGAAAAGACCTTTAAGATTATCGAGTCCAAGCGTTAACATAACACTGCCAAGTCCACCTCTAAACCATGTCCCTAAGCACCACATCTACACGCCTTTTAAATACCTCAGGGATGGTGACTCAACCACTTCGCTGGGCAGAAGCACAGCAAAGGCCTAAGTAGCTAACTTAATCTTCCATTCATATGCCATCTTTTCACTAGAGGGATCCCAGACCATATTAAAATCCCCAGAGGGTATATACAGTGAAGATGGCAATCACTGAACATTTTCCTCAAGGGCTGGCCCCATTTACTCATTAACTTCCTTGATAAATATTACAATTTATAACCTTCATAACCTTGCACAACACACTTCTTACTAAAAGGTGGGGTTTTTTTTCCTGTCAAATTTTCTGTAGACAGTACCTTGTTCCAAAGCAACTAATAACAGAAAAGTCACTACACAGATTGATGGCACAGTGTCCTCAACTTCCATCAATGTGCACATGTAAAATAAGAAGTACATCAGACTGAGTTGCAAATGATATGTTAGTTTAAGATTACAAGGCTATACTTTCATCTATCTGTGCCATAAAGCTATGATTACATCAGGCAGTTCTGTGCACTTGTTATGGACAGAGCCGTGCACGATTTCTAAAGAAGGTCATCTTCGCCTGTTACAATATCCTCAAGAACAAGTGGGAGCAGTTCATACACCTGCCTTCAAGCCCTGGATGTACACAAGCCAACAGGCACTTAATTCTCTATTTCATTATCAGGAATAAATGCAGTGGAACCAGATCATACTACAGAAACTGGGTCTTGTTTTTTGTTTTTAGGAAGCACACAGAATTTGCCATCTGAAATTTGTCCAAAAGTGCATTATCATTTTGATTCACTGTGATTTACGAATGGCAACTGGAGATAGCACATATGATATACGCAGTTTGGAAACACAGAGAGATATTTAGCAGACAAAACATATTGTATAGGTATGTTATGCTCCTATACTTCTAATCAGGCTTGATTTTATGCTTCCAGGCTTAAATTCTTTGAAATACCCATCTCCTAAGACAAAAGTTATCCTGACATATAAACCTAAGAAGATTTATTAGTTTCATTTGAGACAGTATTTTGGTATTTTGTTAGTACCTCAAACTGTGTGAAACGTTTTCTACCTGATATCCAAAGAAGACCATCCACCACATATCCTGCATGGCATGAGAGCGATCGATCAAAGGACTGTACAAAGGTCCACTTGTTCTTCTTGGGGCAATAGCGTTCCACTGTAGGTAACACTTGACGCAATTCATTTCTGCCCCCCACTGCATAGAGGTACTCGTCCACTGCTCCCAGCACAAAGTGTTCCCGACAGTTCTTCATTGGAGCTATCTCAGCCCAAGAGTTAGTGCGGGGGTCGTATCGACAGGCAGTTCTCACCGCACAAGTGCGCCCTGTGGAGTGCTCTGCCTCTCCACCAGCCACAAAAAGAAAGTCTCCCATGACAGCAACACAGTGGTGGCTTCTCCCTACAGGCATAGGTGCTAGCTCGCTCCAGTTTGCAATCCCTGCGATATGAACGTTCTCTTGATCTACCGGATTGAAGTACCGCAATTCCTTCACTTTACAGATTTCACGTTTTTTCCCACCAATAATGTAAAGAGTGTCTGACTGGAAGCGAGGTTTTGTCCTTCTGGTTTGCCAAACTGGCTGTGCATAGATGCTCTGGTGGTAAGCCAAGGCCTCATTAATAAGTGCTGTCGCAGTTTCACTAGCTTGGACAAGAGGATGAGAAAGAGCTACGGTATGCAGTGTATCCACATCCATAAGGCCAAAGCGGACATACTGGAGAAGTTCATCCATGTACTGGTAGCGGCAGTTGTGTTCCAACCACCTCACAGCCAGCTAAAAGTGGGGGGAAGGAAGGGAAAAACAAGACACCAATTATTTGTGTACAATTCTGTCAAAATTTGGTCTTTGAAAACTGTGCTTGCATTCCAAGAAGAGCTGTATACTTGCCTCAGTAGTGATATCAATCAATATAAAAGTAGTTATGAATGCATGTGAGTCAACATAAAAGATACCTACTAAAACTCCACCTATAATATACATAGAAGCTTTGTATTGCACCAGTCCCCCTAAAGAATTTCCACAGCATTATCAGATTGCAATATTCTTGCTGTGCAAACTGTTAGTGATGCTGTAGGAGACCACAATATCCCAGTATCAAGCTGCTGGAGCAATAATATAAATGTAGGGACTGTGTGATCACTGGAGACCGCAGGTACACTAGAAAGAAAGATTACGGTTAGATGATTAGAAAAGCCGTTTCTCCTCTCCATCTTTCATTCTATTTATTACAAAGTATTGAAGGAATATAACAAAATACATACTGAATCCTTCAATATTTTTTTCCTTCATTTATTTTATTCATAAAGCGGAGAGAGGTGTAAAGGGACCAGAAATTAAGCCAGAGAAGAGAGAAGCAGAGAAGAGGCTCTGCTGGTTTGGGACTGACAGAAAGCGGGAAGAAAGACTCTAAAACTGTTCAGCAGTTGCAGCTGGTATCAACAGCCAAAATTAAACAGAGCCTTTAAACTACATAAAGCATATTGAATCCAACCAGGTCTACAAAGAGTCTCAGAAGGGCCTAAACCATTTCAAGAACTGTTGTGTAAGTTGTTCTGGAAAACCTCCAGTGATGAAAATACCCAAACTTCCTCTGGAAAACCATCCCCATGCTCAGCTATCCTCTCGGAAAGATTTTCCTTTTACCTATGCAGGAGCTCGAAACTCTTCAACTCATTGCCTCATTTTTCCACCTTTGGGTTTATACTCCAGAGCTCAGGAACCCCCAGACCAACCCTTGAAATTAATCCATCCATACAGGATGAAAAGCAGTCTGCTACCTTCCTTTTCTCCTCTACCTCCAATGCATTTCATTACGTATGGTGCAGTTTCCTCTTCTCTGAATGAAAAAGTCTCTCAATCCATCTTGGGTCACATTTTCTAAACCTCTCTTGCTTGGCTCACAGTTCTCTGTTATTGAAAGGAAATGCCCCTCTTTCTTAATGTTTGCTGCTGAAAACTGGATAAAATCTTCCTCTTAAGACTGTAGTAGTAGCGAATAGATTGGAAGGATCACTTTGATCATAACAATCTATGCCATTTTTGTTTGTACAACACTACACAAGACTGTCAGTTCACCATGATATTGCTGATTCATGTTTAAGCTTATAACTGAGTACTATTCCCACCTCTTTTTTCTGCAGAACTTCCACAAAGTGTCATGCTTACTCTGTCATTACTGAACTCTTTACTATTTAATTCAGGCCGCTGTTAAGATCATTCTCAATCTTAATTGTATTTTTGAATGTGCTTGAAGACCATTCTACCTTCTGATTGTCTGAAAATATAAGACCCATATTATTCTTTCATCCAAGTCATTAACAAAGACATTGACTAGTTCTGGATGAGGACAGACTCCTCTACATGATACTTCATTTCATTCTGACAAAGAATTTGCGGAGCAGAAGTTTCTACCTAGCTGTGCAATAACAACAGTTTCAGCTAAAACTTACTGCGCTGTATTGCTCAAGGGAATGTCACATGAAGGAGCTGAAAAGAAAGGCTTCTATCTTACTCAAGGCTTTCATATACGCATGGTATATCAAATTTATTGCTGCTTCTGTATTCTGTCAGAGAGGGAAGACGACAAACCAAAACCACCTTCTTACTAAGATTAATTTGAAACACTTTTGCTCCACTGTGCTATTCAACCCCTGTGAAACAAAGAATCGATGAAGGGCATCAAAAATTGCAACAGTAATTCAGTCAGTTAAATGCTGTATTGAGTTTCAAAATGTGCATTAGCTGTATGTATTTAGACTTGTTAGTAAAAAAGAAGTTAATTAAATACATTTGAAAGTGTTTATGCATTTGAAATCATTGAGCATTATATTCACATGTTCTAAATCCACCAAATCCATGTATCAGGTGTCTCCTACAGAGTGGTTTTAGGCAACTCCCTACTCTTAGGCCATGTGAATCATTCCTCATAGTCTTCAGAGGCTCTTAGCTCTCATCGTTGACTAGACGCTTGAAATTGAAGTGGAATTCAGGCTATCTTCATTATGATGAAGACACCAACTGAATTCATACCAACTGAATGATGTGGGGTTGCTATATTAAAAGAGAAGAATTTACAAAAATTGAGTTCTTATCTGTCATCACTTGCATCCAACAGATTGGTTTCTTTTGCTAATAGTTCATGCCTTCACTCACATCTAAAATGGCATCATGGAGGTATCACCTGTGCTGTAAGGACAGACATTACAGACTCTTAAAAGACATGCACTAATGTAAACCAGGTCTTGGTAACCACAAGGCTTTTAAAGGAAGTTTAACATTAATGCCTGTTAATACCTTAGAACTTCACCCTTCCTCTTTCCTTTATTGTCCTCCCTCCCACCCCTCAATAAATACTATATAAACACACAAGCAACACTACATACAGTCATACCTTTCAAAGACACAGTATCTGCATTCATTTCTGCATATGGGATGTGTGACGATCTGCAGCAGAAGGGATGGACATCTCCATTACAATACATTTTCTCCGCTGCATGAAGTTTGGCAAAAGCAACTTGGTTCATACTGAGTTTTGTCTGTACTGAGAATATTCCTGGAGTTGTAAAAAATGTTTCACTGAAACCAATAATGCTTAATGTTTCTCTGAAATCACAGAATTTCTGAACCACCATAGTGATGCTGCAAAGTGATACAAAGATTCTGTCGGCACTCATAGGAGATGTACAGTCTATGTCTGGTCTTGAACCAAAACTTTCTCCACCCTTTCCTGCACTATTTCATCCCCACTCATCTGTCCTGCATCTTTATTGATGAAAACTTTTGAATCTTTCCAAATTAAATTTATTGCAACCTCCTTGGGATCCTCTACATGCTGCATCTAAAGGTATCTTTGGTCTACACTACTTTCACCTTTCCCTTCTGACAAGCAACTGCAACAGCAATCGGGAGGGTAAGGTGAATCCCAGGCTGTCTTTTGTGTAGGTTGTTACTGGGTCTTACCAGACTCCACGTCTGAGGTCTGTAGCATTTGATAATCAGCAGAGAAGCTCTACTGGATCTTAGGGAGGCAACTGAGGTCTGGGAATCACAATGTGTTTAGAAGCTCCTGTCCAAATCAACTCATGCTACTGTCGAACACAATTTGACTACAATATTCCGTGTGACCCACACCTAGTCTGTGGCACTCCAAGGCAGAGAAAAGGCCATAAGAGTTAAAAGCTGTAATGTTTTTATCTCCTTGTTTTGCTATTGATAACAATGACCATTACTCAATTTTAAATGCCATAAATTCATTTTGGGACACTCCTTAAAAATAATTGCTAGGAATTTAAGCTACAAATGTAGGTATTTATATGTATATTCATAGAATACAGGACCAACTCCTAAATTGTGACACAAGGCTATGGAACAGGTCATATGGTTTTAGGGATACTCATAAACTGAGCCTTAGACTTACACATTTTTTATGCAGCACACAGTGTTATGGTGCTCTCTAGCAGAACATGGTGTCTAACACTATGGAGACATGGAAGAAAATTGAGTTATCTGTGTGGGTGAACAGATATTCTAGTCACTGGATGGTTTGGCAGCTATTGGAAGGCTGGTTCAAAAGAAAGAAAATTAAGTTCCCAAACAAGTCTTTTGCTTTTAGTAGAAATAGTCACTGATGGACTGTAATACAGTTCTAAATTTCCTTCAGTGTAAAGGAGGCAAATATAACTCTCATGAACATATGGCAGAAGTGCAAACTTCCATGTAGCGTTGATAAATATACAGATGTTTGCTGATAGGCAAGTTCCACCACCTTTACTCAGGTTTTGTTTAATGCAGACTTAGTGCCTACACAAAAACTCCAAAATTCACCCTGTCTATACAGTAACTATAGTGCCTATTTTTTAGCCTCTCTGGCAGTAGTGATTAGCAACTATAATCAGTATTGGCAAAATAAACCCAAAGCCATTACACACTTTATGACATTGCAAGGAGAGACATTCAGACTTCTCTAAGGAGATACCAATAGCACTTGAAATTACAACTGTGTTTAAAACGCAAACAAGTAAGCAAGCAAAAACAAAGAGACCATCCACAATTTTGAGTTCTAAAATATTTGTGTTGCTGCTAAATAATTTACAAAAATAAGGAAATATTCCTACTCTTAGTGCCATATAGGCAAATTCTGTTTAAACTGCTAGAAGCTTCTTTTCTATTAATTTTAATGTATGAGTGTTGAGAAAAGGAAGCTACAGCCTAGTGCCTATATCAACTTTAATAAATAATATATTTTGCCATATTAATCTTCTAAACTAAGTAAATGACACAAGTAGACCCTCAGAAGGACAGGATTTTCAAACCAGATTAATTCTCTTATTCTAAAGCCTTAACCCAAAGGATTTTTCTTCTCCAAGGTTACATTACTTGATTTAGCAATGGAGTACATTCTCAAAACAGCTGAAAACAGATGGAAAAAATATATTGTGCCACAGTCAGAGCATACATCTAAACACACCTGCATGTTGGATTGTGATTTCATTGCATTTCTAACAGCTGCTTCTGCTTCCAGTATGGTGCTTCAACAGTCCAATTCACACAGCCTCAGAGCGCGGCCCTTCCCTCGCTGCTGTTAATGGTATATGTACTGCATACATACCACAGACGGAGAGGGCACAGAGGCAGTGGAGGTTAAAGCTGAATTAAGAGTTTCACCTCTGTTGAAGATAACCCTGCAATAAGTAGTTACCTGGTCTTTTGGGCTGCCTGCTATCCCAGGAAACAAGAAAACCCGGCACACCTGTGCCTATCCCGATCAGCGTCCT